CCAGCTTCTTTCCTTCCTGTCCCTGTTTGGTCGCTTACCTGCTCTCATTGGGCAACTGCATGCTTGATTTTTAAGTCCCAAGGCTTACACTGGTTTAGGGGTTTTCTTTTAAATTGGTCCCTTCACCGTTTCTTGGTTGCAGTCTGCAGGTGTGAACGCAGCCCACAGAGGCAGATGAGCTTGAGAAGTCTGTAGCTGTGTTTCTTTAGGAAACATTATTTTGAAAGGGCTTTTGCAGCATATGCTGAATCTCACGATGCTGGTAGTGAATTGCTATCAATATTAAAGCTGTTTAGGTAAAAGGCAGCTGAGGTACGTTATATACCAGCTGCAATCCTGTGTAGAATGATGCCTTGGTAAAAATAGGAGCCTTATCAAAGTTGGGGCAGAGGATTTTATTGGCCTGACCACTGTATTTCTATGTATTTTAAATTCAACTTCTTCATGTCATTAGGTCATCTTTTCTATATTATTTTTCACATAAGCCCCTTTGATTTAAATATTTAACAAGTAAATAAATTTTGTAAAAATAGTTCTTAGAGAAGTGTGCGACATTAGCTGGTGAATGTATGTTTTTTACTATTTATAAGGAATATATTCAATTAGTTTAATTATGAAGCTGATGGATTGTAGAAGAACTTAACGCACAAAGGATACAATCAACTTATTTTTGCCAAATAAGAATGCTGCTGGTTGTTGTTGCAGTTCTAATCTATTTTTAATATTTTCCAGAGTGCAAATTCAATAAGAAAACTAGTGAGTACTTTTTATTTTCCTAATTATAAAATACATTAATATTACACATATCTAAAAAATTCCCTATAGCACTGGTACTGAATTAGAAAAACAGTAGTAACCGAATTTGTTTGTCACTTTTCTTTCAAGGTTCCCCCTGCAAGCACTTCAGGGCTCTGTTTTAAGAAATTAAATGTAACAACACGTGCCTATAAATTAGTTATCCATCGTTTAGCAAGAAAAGTAAGTATCTATCATCAGTGCATAGCGTGTGTACACTTAAAAGATAGCTGGAGAGCTACTCTGTTGTAGAATGCAATAGATCAGATTTACAATGAATGCACTACAGGATTAGGATTACTTCTGAGTTCAGGTTCTAAGTAATTCATTGTATGCTAGAAGCAAAAAATATACATTTCTGATACCGTGCTTCATTTATATGTCATTTATTCAAAATGACACTTCAAAGTTCTTTTGAGATTTTAAAGAAATAGCAAAAGCATTTATATCTGAGGATGTATTTCCAGAAAACCTAGAACTGAACAGAAATGTTCCAAAATGTAATAAATGTTTAAGCTGTCTTTCCTGCTAGTCAGTAACAGGTCAGAACAGATAACTAAATAAATGGGATGAGGGTTTCTGTGTTTTTGTTTTATAATATGGTATGTGGCAAGATCTATTGCTTCCTTAATTAGAAAGGATTTCTGTATTTTTTTTTTTTCATATCTACTTCATTGGCAGTCATAGAAAAGAGCACTGACAGGAGCTCTTTTAAGTGATTTAAGCACTGTGACAGTTACTGTGTGTGGCAGAGGCTGTAAAAGAACATCTTTTACTATGAAATGAAAAGATGTATAAAACCCATCTCTGCAATCTGTTTTTATGCCTGAAATGTATTTTGTTTATTTTAGGTAGTAGTGGATTCTGTAATTCAAGCACTACCATTTTCAAGAGAGGGACTGAGTGTTCAGGACACTGGTGCAATGTATGTCGTGGAGACCCCAGCTGGCATTAGCATCAAGTGGGCTCACGTCACAGGCATCATAGACTTACAGTATGGGCCACACTCCCACACACCGCTGAAGACCGAAGGACTTTGTGGTGAGGCTATGGTGGCAATTTTTTCCTTATTTAATAACTTCCCATTTAAAGTTTACACTTCCCTTTTGTGTCTGTGACCTGCTGTCCCTATAGCACTCCTTGTGATCCAAATTAACTACATTGACAGTCCTATTTGAGGTGGGCTTGTGAAATTCTGTTAATTAATAGTAATATATAAGTAATTCTGTTTCAAAGCACTGCTTGCTAAAAGAAGTAGTTTGCAGAGCAAGTAACGATACATATATTGTATCTAATTAGCTTTTTAAAAATTCACTCCTCTCTGTCTGTGCATAAGAATATTCTTGAAGCCAGGAAAGAAAAGGGGAAAATTTTCAATAGAGAAATGGCTGCTGAAGAAGTTCAGATATTTCAGTGACTATGGTAGAAAAGGCTAACTGTCAGATGTTAGCAGTGGCAGCTTATTGTTATGCAAATGCTGGTAAAAGTGTATCTTGGGAAGGGTCCAAGTCGCCTGAAGATAGTGAATCCAAATTCAGGTTGGATCTAGGTTCCAAAACTGTGCAGAGGTGTCTCAGTCTTACATTACCATGACAGTAAATTTAGCATGTTTCAGGCTTTTTATGCAGCCTTTTTATAACTTTGCCAGCATGATTTATATGGCAAAGTATAATCAGGTATTTTAGAGGTACTTTAATTCTATCATAAATGTTCATTTACTGGTGCATTGTAATTTTGCAGCATCTACCCCATATTGAACAGGAAAATGAATGTTTTAATAAGCTTTTAAGCCACTTTTACTTTTAAACGTAAACAAACCAATTCAGATCTGGATTAAATATACATAAAAAGTAATTATTTAAAATAAATTGCTATATTATGCTTGAAGAATAGTAAAGTTCTCCTAGAGCTACTGAGAGAAGACGAATGCTGGCCCTGGAACATACTGCAGCTCTGCCCAGTATCGTGCCAGCTTCTGTATGCATGCTGAAAAAGATGAGGTCAAATGTAGGAAGGATTATAGACTATTTGGTCTTTATGTCATGAAAAGACAGAAAGAGGAAGAGTATACAGACAAATACAACTTCCACTGTGTATTTAGCAGTAAAGTGTGAAGCCTCCTTTAGTGCTTCTTTCCTATTATCTGCCATTTGTTCCTGTCTGGGATTCTCCTATCCTCTCCCTCTCATACTGAAAAAAAAAAAAAAAGGTATTTAATTTATTTTTAAATCTGTATTAATTCTGCAGTTGTGTAGTACAAATCCTAATGGCAGCACAATTTGTGAGATGGCATTAGGGCAGCAGCAAGAAGCAGAAGTGTTAGGAATGTTGGGAAGTGGGACTAGGGTCAAATGCTTCTTATCATGCAGACGCCATCTCCTGCGTTTCTCCATGCTGTCTGTCGTGCCAGCTTAGCCTCCTTCTAAGAAGGGGCCCTGGGGAGTATCAGGGTGCAGGGCTGGAAGCAGGAAGACAAGGACTTAGGGTGTGGTTAGCAATGTGGAAGGAAAGTGAAAAAGGGAGATAGGAACTTTGGCTGGTCAGTCCCTGGGATGGAAAACACTGTTCTGAAGATTAAAACTTTGGCATTAATGGATTGTTTTGTGCTTATAGGAAGTATATGTTTTCATTGATGAATTAGCTGAATGCATACAATAATAAATTTGGGTAGCCAATGTATGTCAGGGGTTTGGGTGGGAAGGTTTTTTCAGTGGTTTTGTATTAATCAACTGAGTGAGAAAAAAATATTTTCTCTAGCGAAAGCAATTTCATAACTTCTTACATTTAGAATATTCAGTTAAGTTTAAATATGGTGTCAAATCATCAGTGACATGCAGTGCATTTGAAAGCCATCTACACTTACTCCCATGGAGGTGATTGCTTCTCAGTAGAATGAGATCAGAACCAGGTGACACGTGAGTGAATTTGCTGCACTAAACAGCACATTTTGTTAGCAGTTTTTATCAAAAGTTAATTAACTGTCAGTAAAATTATCATTACTTGTGTTGTATGATCCACTTGTTTTGCAAAGCCAATGAGCTGACAGCTAAAATCACAAGTAGAAAGCTGGAACTACAGTGGACATATAGCTGCTTTCATTTATAAATTCAGAGGACTAAGTCTGATGAGCCTGATATAATGTTAATCTTACCTTATTAAGTGCACTTTTCTTTCCTAAAGGAAGTAATATGGCATGTTTGCTTGTGCTTTGAATATGATGGTCTGTTGCCAGGGGTGTGTAATGGAGACCCTACCGATGACCTGAAAATGCAAAACAGGACCATAATTACAAATATGGAGGAAATGGAAATGTTCATTAAGAGTTGGGAAATTGAGAAATCGTTTGATGTAACAACCAGGAGGCCAGTAAGAAATTGTACTGAAGATAACTGCACGTACTGTATGGAACTGTTAAACAGAAGCATTTTCATCCCTTGTCACAAGAAAGTAAGTATAAAGATCAGAGGAATCTCAGGTGCAAATTAAATGAAATAGCTATAGTTAAGAGTGAGAGAGGTATGCACATTTTTAATGTCTTGCTTGTTTCCATGAGTTGACAAATGGATGGGTGGCTTTAGTACCTCTGTCATGTTGACCTTGATACTGTTGTCATGTTGTCCATTGAAAACACACATCCATATGGATCCCTGTGCTATTATGCTGTTTCTTAAGTTTACAAAGCTCAAAGGAGAGACACCAGTTCATGATGTGAAATCAAATGCATTTCAGAAGAATTATTTTTAAGAAATGGTTGACACAAGTCACTGGAATGGAAAGCCTCATGCTTCTGCTGCATACAACAGCAACTCATGCAGTCTGAGACTGAATGGATTGAAGAAATTTCCAGTTAAATGGATTTTGATGTAGTCACTATTACATTGACAGTTAGGTAGCATTTCTTCCAGCAATCATTATAATTTGTTCCTGGACACTACTTTCTAATGGGGACAGGCAGTAGCACACAGACTACCACGAGAGGTGGCTTGTGCAGCACAGCTGCTTCCTGGAATGAGGAAACCCGAAATCCCTGAGGTCTGTCTTACTTTCCCCACTTAGTTCAAAACAAAAAGAATTATTTGCTCAAGTGGCCCTTTCTTTCTCAGAGACAGATATGTCCTGATACCTGATTAATTTCTTGCTGTTCTGCCTTTCCACCTTTGGTTTGTATTGTGTTACTTTTTGGTTCTTGTCACAGACAAATGCTGTTAAAGGTATTGCAGGCAGCTGAGCCCCTTCCTTCAAACACCCAAGACCTCTCCTCACTTTCCCTAGGCAGAGATAATGGAGAGAGTTCTTCTGAAAGGAAGAGGTTAGAGATTTTATTTAAGGAAAAAAAAAAAGAAAAAAAGATTAATAGGTGTCTGTCACAGGAACTTAATGGGAGGGAGAAGTGGTAAGCCATTTGGAATCCAGAAGGGAGAGTAGCACCAGTAGATAGCAGGATGCTTTTCATAATTGTTTTAACATAAGTAATTTAAAAATAATTAAAGGGAGTCTGAATAGTCAGAATTCCTACTTCATGTATGTTTCCAGGAGAACTCTCATAGCCTCAGATGCAATGCAACTGCATCTTTTCCTGGTTTACAGCAAAACCTGTCATAGCATCAAAATTGGGAAGCCCTTGGTTCATCTGTTATGAAATTTGTTTCCTTTCATATACATGACGGTGGCAGAGCCAGAGTGGATGGAGCCTGTGGTGTGCTTCACAGGCCTGAAGCAACTGCTCCAGGGCAGAGTCATCAGCACCATGAACTTTATGGTGAAAGTGAGCAACTGCTTGTATAAAAACAATAGAAATAAGAATTTCCAAAAATGTGTGTAAGAATTTCTATTCTTTTTATTTGCTTCGCTTCTAACAAGGTGGAATAAGTCACATTTTGTTTTGTTCTGCCTGTTCTTTGTGGTGCTGCAGCCCAGCTCTCCCTGTGGTTTCAGCAACTCTAGGTTGCACAACCTGCATTTAGACCCAGTAACATAGGCTGTCAGAGCCTATGGACACAGAAACAGAACCCTCAGTAATAATTTGTTCACAGCAGGAAATAATGGAAGCGATAATGGAATAGCAGTGATGTTTAGCTGAGACTGTTGACTTTTAGCTGACAGGGCTACACTGCAATAGTTCTTGTAAGTAGTGTGACAGTCTTTTTGGGACTCTGTGCTGTGCCTACTAATGCACACAAAAAATTCTGGCAGTTTAAATTTTGCAGAATGAATATTCTGAAAAAAAGACATTTTTTTACTTTAGACACTGCTTTCGTTTTTTCCCTTGCAGCAGTATTATTTATTGTAATTAGTTATTTATTTTAGTTACAGAGAGCTCTTTTACTTGTTAATTCTGAATTACAATATGTTCCTAGGTGTCACCACAGGAGTTTTGTGAGAAAATGTGGATCAACAGTACTTATTTTTGGAATTACGAGTGTGATGCACTTTCTGCATATGTGACTTTATGCAACAAACACAACATCTGTATTAAATGGAGGACACCTGATTACTGTTGTAAGCAGACAGCCATGTTCTCTATCCCAGTGTGGCTTTATACTGCTGCAGTGTTTAGTGATGAGTTAAATATATGTTTCTTTCTATTGTTATTGTAAGTACCACCTCATTCTATTACAGCATTAGTAAATCAGGGTACAAGTTCTTAAGATGCATTGTTTTAATCAAAGTGTCATGAACTGGTTTAGTGTTGATTGTATGACTTGCTTACCTAAAGTAATATTAAAACTACAAATGTGTGCTTTTTGTGATACATACACTTGTTCTTACTACCTGTTTGTCCAATGAAATGCTGAAAGAATAACAGCAGCACTCAATGTCCTATTTTTATGACTTGCAGCATTGAGCTGTCCTGAAGGCAAGGAATATCAGCCCTGTGTGCAACCCTGTGAAGCCAAGACGTGCTTGAATAAATGGTTCTATGAAGATTCTCCTTGTTCCTATTTAAGGGAAGATTGTGTGTGTAAAAATGGCACTATTCTGCATAGAACAGACTCTGACCTCTGTATACCAGAAGAAAAATGTAGTAAGTGCAGTAGGACCGCGTGGTTTTGCACGTGTGCCCATAGTAACCGCAGCTCAGTGTAAGTGACGTTTCAGTTCTGTTCAGCTCCCTTCAGCAGAGCCTAGCTTCATCTCAACCTACAACTGTTTATGCCTCCAGTTCACTTGGATTCAAGACCCAATGCTGATGTACATCTGTTGAGGGAAAATGATGGTCACTGTTCTGTAGCTTCCAGGCTTTCTTCCTGGAGTACTCAGGAAGGAAGGAAGGAAGGAATAGCACAGGCAGGTCCTTTCCCTTGCACTTAGTATTTATTTTCACCTGTAACAAAGTATTTTTTCATTTTGGGTTTTTAAGGTCATCATCTCTTCTTGGATTCCTTAATCATAAAGCTCCACAGGGCTCTTATTTTGTACAATTCATTGTTGCTTGCAGGAAATCTGTGTTCTCTACTTGTTGAAGGGTTATAATGCTTTCTTCTATCAGCATGTACAGATAACAGAGGACAGCCCCGCTCTGCTGGGGAGATCTGGAGTGGGTCCACAAGAGGCTGTTGCATGTACAACTGTTTAGAAAATGGAAGTATTATTTCTGTAGAGCCTGAATGCAGTGAGGATCCACCACTAGTCTGTGAAAGAGAAGGAGAAGTTATCATCCAAGTCATTGAAGAGCGAGCTTGCTGTCCAAAGAAAGTTTGTGGTATGTACCATACTTGTTTTCAGTAACAGGAATATAAGGTAAATACTTGACATTCACTGACATTCACTTGACAATCTTTAGACTGGATTCAAGGAAACATTTTTCAGAAGTGATTTTCAGGTACTTGTGGCTGGTTGGGCCAGTACAGTATGCTTCTTTGTAAGAACAGACTCACTGAAACTTTTTTTTTCTTAGAAGTCCATTTGTGAAAGAAGTCTCCTGTTAAAAATTAATTTTTAAGCTCTTGGGTAAAATTTTCAAAATAAATCGATAAACACTTGATGATACAAGTACCTTGGTAATTGGGACTTTTCTTATTAGTGCTTTAGTGTCAAGACCAGTATCCTGTGACCTACTGTTGTTTTCCAGAAGCAGCATTCTGTGAGGTGATCACTGAATACTAATATTGTCTCTAGCCATGATTGTTAGAAAAGGAAATAAGCTTATTGCTCCTAAAGTGCGGAGCAAAAGATACCTATTTCTTTGTAACAGCTTCAAGGAAAATGAGGACAAATGGCCCAGCTGATATGGTGCTTTTGCTCATTAGTTGGATATCTGTAACTGAGCGTATTGTCAGTTTGTTTAGGGAATAGTTTTGCTGGGATATTTTAGCTGGCTTCCTGTGTAGGAAACAGAACAAGTAAATACCTGCTTCAAGAGGGATCTAGCTGTGCTTGCACTGTGCCATGTGAACAGAGCTAAACCAGTTCTGGGTTGAGCTGAGAGATCTATGTAATGGTGTGTAGAGTGCACTTTAAGCTGACTCGGGCTGCTCTTGGTTTGTGGATCTCTATACTAGATGGTATAAATACCTTAAGCCGTATGAAATGAACTTGGATCTGTTACAATATGTCAAAACTGATTGGCATGTTTTTTATCCCACAGAATGTAACATGTCATTGTGCGATGCCATTATTCCAACATGCAAACCTAATGAAAAATTAGTGGTAGGCTACCACCCCCTGTCCTGCTGTCCACAGTACCGATGTGGTAAGGGAAATAGAAGAACACAGTTACTGGGACATTTCCCCCATTTTTATTGTGTGTTGTAAGAAAACTTGCCTGAGAAGTTGTTTTGATTGTTAACAGAATGGACACTGTAAACAGCACTAGGCAATGAAGTACTTTTTTTTCCACACTCAATAATATTTTTATGTGTTTATGTTTTGTGTCACTTTTGATTTACCCTCGGTTTGGGGTATTTTGTTTTATTAAGTGGATGAAGAATATGTTTTCTTTATCTTTTTAGTATTGTTTCTGTGACTCTTAAACGTAGTGTTTATTTCACATCCTACAGAATGTGACCCTTCAGTTTGTTTCAATGCTTCCCATCTGGACTGCAGAGAAGATCAATTTATTGTTGAAGCGAAACAGGAAGATCCCTGTTGTTTCTCTTATCTCTGTGGTAAGAAACCTCTACTATTTTTATGGATAACTAAGGAACAGTTAAGGTTTTGAAGAAACAGTCTATAGTTCTAAACCTAATGACTTAAGCCAGGAATTCTTGGAGAGGTCAGTGGGACTTCACATAGGTTAGGCTGAGTGAGCATGACTTATTCTTGGGTTTGGGGACCTTTTTCTTCCAACATAATTTTGAACATCATGCATGAACTTTGTTATGGTTTTATATTTGAACTTCAATCCATAAAAGCTTTTTTATACACATAACAAACATATTATTTGTTATATAGTCCATTAAAGAGAATTCACGTGCTAACTTTTTGTATTTAAAACTTTGTAAATGTCTGATTTTTTTTTTTTTTTTCAATTTAGTTTGTGAATCCTGTATTGAGCCTGTTCCCTTGTGTAATGAGGGGGAAATTCTCACTGTGGACCCTAATACCATACATTACTGTTGTCCTCATTACTACTGCGGTGAGTGTAATTGTTGTCAGTTCAATATTTTACCCAATTTAGTAAAAATGACAGACAGTGTGTGCATGTGTAGATTTTTTTAAATTTTTTTTTTTAAATTCGGTAGTTAGGGTGAGCCTCAGATAGAGATTCAGAGATCTAAATGAGTGTGTCTGCATTTGTGGTAGGTTTGGATTTCTTGGTATACTCAGTGGTGGTCTAACCAACCCAGTCAGTGGAGTCTGGAGAGGTTCTTTAGCTCACCAGACACAATACAGCTACTTTCAGGGTAATCCAAATACAGATATATTAATGTGGAACTGAATCTCATTCATGGAGTGTAAGTATATAATTGTTGATACATTAATATGCCTGTAATAAAACGTCCTCCATGTTGTTGTTCCTCTGTCATACTATTCATTAGTGTTGAGGGAGCTTCTTTGCACTTTTAGCTTTTAGGGGAAGGAGTAGGCCAACGATTTAAAATATTGCTCTGTTGACTACTAAACAATGAACAGCCAGAAGAAGAATATTTGCAGTGTAATGTAGTCTCGTTGGTAGCCTCATAAAACACAGTAATTGTGCTGTATGTTAAGTACTGTCCACAAGTGTAACTGCTAAATTTAGCTTAACTCTAGTCTTATTGCAGCCTTTGGGTAATTTCAGTTAATTAAATTGTCTTCCAGTAAGTTTGGAGTTCAGTATTTTTTACTTCAAGTGGTTCTATATTTTGGTCCTTTTTTTACCACGTGGAACCCAGGTGGAAGTTTCTGCAAAGGTGTTTGGCATAATTTTTGTCAAATTCTGGCAGGTAAAAAGTTAGATCTTAGTATGTGGTCTTCTTTCACAGTCCCAGAAAGCCAATTCTGGTAAGACAGGCAGATATTTTCTTATTAAAGTCATCCCAGGAGGGCAGATGCTCCTTGTTATCTCACAGAAGTGTGCTTTACAGCACATTTGTATCTGAGAGGAAAAAAAAAAGAAAAACAAGCCACATGTTTTCCAAAAGCCATGATTTAGTTGTCTCTGGTACTGGTTATCAACTTGAGTGACTAAGGCAGGAAGACTATTAAGTAGTTCCTGTGTGATATTTTCTGAAAATTTAAATGTGTTCCAAGGCAACTAAAAGCACTTTTAAAAATATTTATATTTTAGTTCCTAATATAGTTCAGATGCTTAAGGAACAAAATAAAAAAATAATTAAAATGTCATTATTTGAAAAATAGCTTATAAAGGGAAATATAAGCTAGAAAATTCGAAGGAAATTTGAGTAAATTCTCTTATGTGTCATTTCCTCCCATTTAGTTTGTGATGAAAATCTTTGTTCTGAGCCTCCCAAGAATTGCACAGATGACATGATACTTGTGAAGAAAAAAATACCTGGACAGTGTTGTCCAGAATGGCACTGTGGTAATTATTGCTTTATTCCTTAGTCACTGCTGTCAACAAAAGCTAACAATCAGCTGAATAATACGGTTTTCTCTCTCTTTTCCCAGAATGTAGCTGTGAAAATGCTACTGTGCTGACCTGTAAATTGGTAAGCACTGTCCTTTAGATATTTTTATTAATGGTGTTCAGTCCTCTCACTCCTCCCTTTCCATTCCTTGTTTTAATTAGTTGTATAGTGTGATGAGGCTGAAAACAGGACATGCTGAGACTGCCTCTCAGTGTCCAACTCAAGCATGAAACTCCATTGAGTGCCTGCACATTGTTAGCTGTTCCTTTGGAAATTTCACTTTGTTTGATTTAAGATGTCAAAAGAAGAAAAGCAACTGTAATATTATTTTGTTCAGTGTTGACTCAAAACAGTATTCTGGGAAGACTTTCCACGTAAATTGTTCACAATTGTTTTAATAATTAATGAGGAACGAGCTTTAAGATCCTACATCTCAACTAGAGAAATGTGTTATATTGTTAATCACTTATTCTTTTGATTAAAATAATTTAATATTATTGAATTTAGCCAATATGAGAAGTCATAAATATTTTGCTCCTCCTATAGTTTCTTGTAATTGGGACTGTGATCTGAAAATAATTGTGAGTGAATGCTCAAACTCCCATTATTACCACAGTGTCACGGATATTTTCCATATCAAATAACTGTAGTTTCTCCTTCTCATCCCCTTATGTGAAGACTGCATAATGCAAAGTCTAAAAAGGAGTTGCAAATATGAATAGCTTCTATCTTTTGGAAGAAAATTAATAGAATGCAGGTTTTTGCATTTATTATTAAAAATTTGTATCTCAGGAAAAAATGTTTAGTGACTCTGCTATTCATAAGCATTCCTAGAAAAAATGAAGTGCCTTGCTGCTGCTTAAAGAGATAAATGCACTGAAGAACTCTGAACATGCTGCTGTTATCTTGAGTACATTGCCATTTTTCTCTTCGTGAAAGCAGAGGTGGAAGTGATGAAAGTAATAGTTTACATGTTTAGAGAAAAACTGTCTGCTTAGCACTAAATTAATTGTGCATGACTTTGCAAACTCTTATCTTTTTACACTCAGGGAGAAGTTAAGAAAATCGGCAGTAGCGTTTCCACTGCTTGTGGATGCACTCACTACATTTGTGGTAACTTTTCATATTCCTACCTATTTTGGTTTAGTTTTTAGTAAAAAGGGCATGCAAAGAAAGCAGAAATAGGACCATAATAACCTTCTGAAATGTAAACACTCTTTTGTCTTGATTTTATGGGTGTCTGCCTAGTTATGCAATTATGCTCTCTTTTCTGAGTGTGATCTGCTAACCCATCCATTTTGTGTCTGTTCTGGTGGGTGCAGGAGTGTCGTAGAACTGCCCAGGCTTTCAGAGTCAGGTATGGTCTCTCTGGTGAGAGGCACTCAGCAGGCTCTGAACCTTAGCTGGGTGTGAGGGGTGTGACTGCTCCTAGGCCACTGTTGAGCACAAATGAGACAATATCTCACACCAGAGCAACAGACCTATCCAGCCAGCACGAGGGTAGGTACCAAGTCTTAAGACCAGACCTCTGCTCCCTTCTCTCATTCAGCAACCCCGTGTAGAGGAGGTTTCAGCTGTACTGAAACCTGTGCTGCAGCCCAAGCTAACCTGCCTCTGGGAGCAAAGCACAGTTTTGCTGTACAGCTCGAGCGTATTACTGTCCCACAGGTCATTGTAAACTTACTAGTTTAATTGACAAAAAGACTACATTAGACTACATTTTGTGATGTGCAGAATAATTCATATAATGTCTTTATCCCAGTGTTAAATATTAGAAATCTTTAAAAATAAGAACAATGGATTTTTTTTTACATCGATAGTAGGAACAGTATCAATTTTAGGCAGTTTTGCATTTTGTAGCATAACACTCCTCACCCCCTTGTTTGGTAATTGAAATCACACACCAACCAACTCCAAAAGTTAGAATACTTTTGCAGAGCACAGCACTTTGCCCTACTTCTGTCTTCACAGTGATTCTGTCACTTTGCGTGACGATTGTTTTTTTCTCCTCTGGTAACATGTATTTCTTCTGATGTTAGAGAAGGATGATGTGTGCATCTTCCAAGAGGTCACAGTACTGAATCCTGGACAGTCAGTGATTCAGTACTTGGATGGAGACCTTTGTTACACTATACAGTGTTTACAAGAAAAAGATCAGAAGACAGGATTCAATGCCCTGCATTTTACAATGGTGAACTGTTCCCAGCAATGTGAAGCTGTGAGTATTCTAAAAATACAGGAATGATGCAATCTGTGAGCACAACTACACAAGTAGGAAAAAAGCCAAAATGAAGATGTTTGCTAGTCCTGTTTGTTTTTTCTTTCTTTTTTTTTTCTTTTTTTTTTTTTTTTCTCCCCTTTCCTTTCTTTCCAGCATCAAATATATGTTCCTTCTTCCAGTCACCATACTTGTTGTGGTACCTGTCAAAACGTATCCTGCTCTTTTCATACTGAGAATGGAACACTCATTGTGTATGAGGTAAGTGCCTCTGGACAGAAATAGAAAATAACTATAATAATATGACAAACAGGTGTCTCACAGTTACTGCTTGGCTAACTCATGCTGTGAGTTTTGCTTCACACCTCCTTACTGCTGGGTATACACTTAGAGACTATCTGTGGCATATAATAAGGAAAAAAGTGTTTATTTAAAGACCTGCCATTTCACACTAGGTAAATACATTATTTCACTTTATTGGTTGCAATATTTTCCTCAAAGATATCCAAATGGCATAATTTACTTGAGGCTGAATAGGCTCTAAGTGGAGGGTAGGGTTCAAAATGTAACTCTAAGTCATATACTGTGATTTAGATGTGTTGTGAGCTTCTGAATCAACATCAGGACTCCTACATGGCCCCCTTCTCCTATGGGCCATTCTTCTCATTCTGGTTTCTATAGAAAGGAAGGCTGCACACTGAAGCACTGGGGTTCAGGATCCTGACAGTGTGTACCAGCATCCACATGCAAGGAAATTTAGATGTGGCCATGACTTGGTTCATGCTTCTCATTGCTTTGGGAGCAGAAGAAGCTATGGGACATTTTCCTGGCACAGAGCCCTTTCATTCTGGGCTTGGAGACCCGCACTGAGCAGCATGCTGGAGAGGAAGGCCATGGCTCCAGAGAGGAGTAGCCTCTGGTAGTTCCCTTTCACCACCTGTGGGTGGTCTGCAACAAACTTTCCACTGCAGCAGGTACTACAGCATGAAGGCATCACTTTTACAGACATTTGGGGCTGGAAATAAAGCTGAAATGTTTTTTTTTTTTCTTTTCTGACAATGACTGTTTTTTATATTCAGGAAGGAAGCACCTGGAGCTCTAACTGCACCAACTACAAATGTGAAAGAACCGCTGTGGGAGCAATCATACTGGGGTCAAGTGTTGTCTGCCCCCCGTTTAATGACACTGAGTGTACAAAGGTTTGTACTGTGGGTGAGGTAAGTGGCAATGTGTGACCTGGAGTTTGGCTTACGCTTGACAATGCATGCACACCTCAGGCACTTTCTTTGAATTAAGGAAGTGGTAAGTAAAAGCATATGAGCAAGTAATCTACAGTCTTGTCTTCTATGTTCCTGCTTGCTTTTTGGCTGACAAAATATCTGTGAGGAATATGAACATTTGGTTGGGGCTTAACAATGACAGCTTTTAAAATATTGTGGAATAGGCATCATGCTTGACATACCACTTTATGATCACTATTTAAGTGCTGATCACTATGTCTTACCCTAGTTTGGAGTAACACTTTGTCTGAAAAAAAAATGAATCAATTCAGAAATGCTGCATGTAAAATTGGGATATATTTAAAATTCCTTAAGTTGTGTGAAGATTAGAAACATAATGGAATATATGTAAATTTTATTATCTATTAAAATAAATTTTGCATAATGTGGCAAAAAATGTGTATCGTACATGAAAGGGTATCATCTACCTACATCATATATCTAATATTGCAAATTTGGCATACCCATGTAAACTGATCTGAAGAATGTGGATGCTTCACACACATTATGTATTTTTTAACAATTTAATTTCTGATTCAGTACTTCTCTAACTTTATAATACTCCTTATGATTCTTGCACCTGCAGTACACCTGTATTTAATATAAGCTACAAATAATAATAAAATAGATATACATGCAGAAAGGGTAAGTACCATTGCTGCCTTGACTACAGATTATAAATTTAGCACAAGCTCTACTTAGCTGCTGCATTTGTTTAAAACAGTACTTATTTCTTCCAATCCTGAGGAAGGCATTCTGTCTAAAATTAACACCAGTTCTACTTCAACTTTATGCTCCAGTTTCTTCCTTGGAACCTTTTGTCACCAGCTGTTAGGATCTTTCTTTAATAATAATGGTGAAGCTTTTAAAGACTGCAGCCCTAAAATTAACTTCTGAATTAGTCTGACCTGTTTTTCAGAGATGCTGAGCATAGACTGGTACCAGTAGCCAAGGAGAAAGCTCTTCTGACAGGCAGCTCAGGATAATTTAGGAATATGGATTTAAGAGGCTGAATTTGAGTGCTTACTTAAGGAATTCTTGAACGACTTATTCAGTAATTTTTCTGTAATGAGATAAAAAATGCATGCTATGATGAAAAGGTGCCCTTTGCCTGTTGTTATCACGAGAGTGCTATTTATGTTCAGTTGTCTGCTTGATGGGCAGTTCTCAGCTGTGCACTAAAATTGTGGGCACATGTTTCTTGCTTGCACCCGTTCTGAAAGATTCTGACAGCCCTTCTCTCTCTCTTTCTCTCTCATGCTCTCTTAATTTCAGAAGGACATTTTCTTTACTTCCATATATATTTACTGTCTAGCTATCAAGCAACTTTAGCAGAAATCAGTAACAAACACTGTAATTGAGAAAAAGAGTTGAGCACACCAGTGGTTCTGAAATTCTGCAGTTAATATTTTCTTTCAAAAGTATGTATATATGCATATATATATTTAACACTATAAAGAGCTATTTATTAGGTATTAATTTTCTCCTTGGCATATGATCAGTGTAAATACTTTTACATTGCCAGCAAAGTTGCACACACGATTTTTTTAAAGTATCCTAGCAAATGTCAGTCATGGGGAAACAGATGGTAGTGGATGATATAAAAAGATGCTTATAGAAACTAAGTGGCTTATTCACAAGAAATGAGATCAGATCAAATAAACAGTGATGAGTTCTTTTTCAATGTCAAAGGCTGTAAAGATTTTTGAACCAAACCCTTGGCTGATACATACATGTGTAATTGTCCTGACTTAAGCAACACTGCTTTTTATTAGTTGGACAGCCTTAAAACATGACATGTTTTCAGATACAATTCACTTTTGTATTGGGCACAGTCTTTTTTGATATATTCTCTTTTTATTTTTCTAGAATGGAGGAATTGTGCAGATGTATAATGATGGCTGCTGCAAGACCTGTAAGTGATGAAAGCTGCAACATGTGCTAGTTTAGCTTTGGTTTTGGAGGGCTTCTTTCTTAACCTCAGTTGCTGGGACATGAAGAAAGAAAAAGCATGCAGTCCCCCCCCCCAAATCACATAAAATTGTTGTAGTTACCTAACTACTCCTATCAAAAGGTTTTGCTTCATTTGGCTGCTGACTTGGTGATTTTTAACATTATCATTCTGGAGTATAACCAATCCCTCCAAATATAGCCTGTGGAAGATAAAAATTTATCTCAGTTAAAATAATGAAAGCATTATCTTTATGGGTAAACTGACTCTAAAATATTGCCTTTATGATTTTTGCAATAAAAGATAAGGATTCCCCCCCCCAATTGATTCCTAATTTGATGATGTTTTGAAATAAGTCTCCAAACTTACCAACTGATTCTGTATCACTCCTATATATTTTCTAGGGCCAAAATAGTGGAATTTTTCATTTTTCATTTTTTTTTTTTTAAATCCAAAATGAGGAAAAGTTATAGTAATACTGATGTTAGCAATGCTTAGATAAAATTGACTTTTTAATATCTGGGAATACCTTCACATTTTCTGTGTGTGTAACTTTAAAATATGATGAATTGTAATGCAAGCTTCTACAAAGGTTTCATAATTTATGCCATTTTAAAAGTTGATTGAGAAAAAAAATTTCTCTGCAGTTTTGTCTAGGGAAGGTTTTATTATCAAGGTTTATACAAAAAAATAAAACATTGTTGTGTCAAACTAATTGTATAGAGCAAGAACTGTTGAATGCCACAGAAAAATCTCTCCTTCTTTATTAATGTTATGTTTAACATTAGCATTAAAATATATAAGCAAATTAGTCTTTTTTTATACAAACAAGATTTTTTTATACAAACCTTTACTCAATAATATTGAATAGGAAATCACAGACATATAGCCATATATTGCACAGATATTAAATAAAATTCAGAAGTGCAATGTATTGTAAATAATTCAGTGATATAAGGGATAATATTCATACTTATCAAATACAGGAAAATACTCAAGTTTCCAAGTAATGCAAAGCTTTGAAAGTGAACTGCAAGTGTTGTTGTTCTATTGCATCCAAAACATAAATCAAAGCTAAACTAAAATAGCTAAGTAAAAGTAAAAGCTAAGTAAAATACAATAGAATGCCTTTTTTTTTTTAAATGAGAATCAGCATAGAAAAGTAACACACCAGAATTGTGTTAAAATCTTACTAATACGTATTCTTTCTCTAATGAGATAAGCTGTATTGAATAATATTTAACTAACACTCCCCAGATTAGGTTGACTTTGTTTAGAAAATTAGTCTAAAGAATTAATGGCTACTGGTTTTCTGTTGACCAGGAAAATGTATCATTTTGGCCATATTCTGTGGCCTCAGAAAGGCATCGTTATACTTCAGAAATACTTGCTGAGGTGGCTGCTAAAAAGAACAGCTATAATTCATAAAATTATATGCTATTTTATTTTTATTTTGTTTGATTTTTAACTAAAAGCATGTGCCCTGTGGTGAAACAGTTAAAAAGAGTACTTATAAATTGAGCTTGCAACACATTGGGGTTTTAGTGGAACAAATAATCTTTCTGAAAGAGCTTGATTCAATGCATGCAAAGTGAGTGCATCTATTTAATTCTTACCTTGCCATAGAGAGATTTGTTGCAAAAGTTTGGTTCACAAGGAAGAGTCATTCCAGCTTTGTGTTACCCAGGACAGTAACAAAGTTCAGACTATCTTTAGTGTGATTTAATGCAGCTGAAGAATTTCTAAATTTGGAAGACTAACAGGAAAGATCATCATCTTTTGCTTAAAGAAAAATTGCGGTTGGCAGTGTAAGAATTAATGAAATGTCGTTTATATAAAAATGTTTTTATTTAATGAGAAACTTATATTCCTAATGATTCTGCCAGGTTCTGGATTGGGTCTATTACCCTTTGCCATTAGTCCAGTAGTGCCTACTGGTAGTATTAATTGTGAACCAGGTATTACTTTTAATAATGTATTTTCTTTTTTTAATAACAGTGTAAGCACTGCTTGATATATGTGTATAGCTGTTATCACCATTAAACATTACCATGCAGTTAATGGTACTGGGCCTGATGCTGAGAGATGCTGATGCCCTGCTGTCGGCCTCCCAAATCAGTAGGCTTCAAAAGACTGGCAAGGGTTCACTGCTCAGCACCTGTCAGAATTAGGTTCATCCATTTCTCGTACATGCTGTAGATGGTACTTCCTCCTATCCCTTTATGAAATAGTTTTTAATATGTGATCTTACTGTGCAGTGTAATTATAATAAAAAAATGTTATTTAAAAAAATCATCGTCCTGAATACTGTTACTGAGATTCCAAATCTGATCCTTTGTCCCTGAATTTAATGGATGAACTGGTATTGCCTTAAAATAGAGCAGAACTGTGCACTGCTGCCCAGTCTCACCTTTGCAGATATGGATTTATGCTGTGTTTCTACTTTATCACAAACAATGTGTTTTAAAAAGTTATGAAAGTGTTGGTAGGGGGAGGGGAATACAATTTACAAACACATGTTAATCAGTGAATGCTCTTTACATTAGAAATAACAGAATGTTACAGAAATGTTGCATTATGATCACAATACTGTGGTTTTAAGGATAGGTAAGTCACAGAAACTCCTTACTCAAAATAAGGAGTGAATAAATCAAGCAGACTTGATACTGAATGGAGATTTCTTGACCTTTGGAGGTGAGACAGAGAAAAATATAACAGCAGAGTTTTCATTAGACACCAGAACCTTATATGCTGAAATGTCATCTGTCTCTCTATGACTGGTAGAAGTACAAAGATTGTGTTGACTACACATGTTCATGCTGGCCAGAGCTTTCTGATGGAAATATCACAGGACTTCTTTCTGTTAAGTGCTGCTGGGGAAGGAAAACCAATATACTGTAGGCCAACAGCTCCAATCATACAGTGATTGGCTCGTTCAGTAACAGAATCTTGTTGGATCCTGCAACGTGCAAATTAAAATCTAGCTGTACTCTGCAGCCAGCCAATTTTTAAAGACCCACTAGAGCTGTGGTTGCAGAATATCATCGTTACTCAAAGCTTATTTATCTTATCAAGGTGCTTCACAAGCTTCTGGGGAACTGAAAAGTTGCTCTTGTCATGTACACCCAACCAGAAAGGCATGGGCTGAAGGTGGAGAAACTTGGCCAAATAGTGCTTATTATTTTATATGCTGATGTCCAAAATGGCTGCATAGCAAAACTAATAGATAATTATGATGGGCAGCAAAATAGGAGTTAGAATTAGCTGCGTTTACAGAGATAGTAATAACAGTCTGATATGGAGCGCAGCATCAAAGGCTGTCCATTTAATTATTTCAATATAATTTCTCTCATCAGTGTTTATAAATGTATAAAGGGCAGGTGTCAAGTGAATGGGGCCAGTCTCTTTTCAGTGGTGCCCAGTGATAGGACAAGAGGCCATGAGAACGAACTGGAACACAAGAGGTTCCATCTGAACATGAGGAGAAACTTCTTTCCTGTGAGTGTGACAGAGCACTGGAACAGGTTGTCCAGAGAGTTTGTGGAGTCTCCTTCTCTGGAGACTTTCAAAACCCACCTGGACACAATCCTGGGCAAGCTACTCTGGGTGAACCTACTTTAGCAGAGGGGCTGGACTAGATGATCCCCAAAGAATCCTTCCAAACTCTACCATTCTGTGATTCTTTGATATTATGAATTTTATTATGTTAAAAATGGCTTTGCACTGTACAGCTTTATTTTTCAAATAAAAGAAAAAAAACACTTATTGATATCTCCCAGAATGTACTTAAAAATGCAGTATTTCTGTGATCCTAGACCTGTATGCTGACTGAGTGCTAAATGCTTCAGTTCCGGTGGTAAAAACTGAAGCACATTTAGCAGTTATATTCATCCCTCTCTTTCAAAGCTTCCTTGAAGGACACTTTTCTCAAAAATATATTGAAATTATGTAGTTCTATTTAATTTTTAAACATGCAAAATAGCATCAAGGTTGTAATTACATTCATAGCTTTACTTTCTTAAGTGTTAAGTTCTGAAAATTTTCTAAAATGCAGAAGCAAAATCTTATTTACAATCAATAGTCCTATTAAAGCAGAATTAATTCTAATACTACTCAAAATTACTGGAGACATAATTTTTTCTAATTGCTTATATTTGTCTAATAATATGTGCAATTTAAATTCATATTAATATTTTAATATTTATAAAATCTGTATAGCTTAACAGGCCGCTTGATACCTCACATGTATCAGCTAAAAATTGATAAATACTTCTGGTGCAGAATTATTGCTGTATGAGATTTTTCTTTTTCTAAAAAAATATTTAATTATAGAAGTAAGAGTTTAAGTATGGATATTAATGAAAACCAAGTAAAATTACAAAAATTATTTAATAGTTTCACTTTTTTAGTAGCAAATACAATATAAAAAGTGTGTTGATTCTGTATGCATTTTCTGTATTTTATCAGGCAAAAAGGAAGAAAGGATTTGCCAGAAAATGACAATCAGGACAACCATAAGAAAAAATGACTGTATAAGCCAAAGCCCGGTAAGCATAAAGACCTGTGTTTGATGCTGGGCCTATGGCACACCAAAACGAGTAGTAAGAAATAGGTTATAGCTATCAACAAGCAACAAAATGTTGCTATCTTCTCAAAGCAGGCCTTTGACCCTAGGAATGTTAACCAGCTCGTAAATGAAGTAAAATTAGCTGTTCCTATGGCTGAAAGACTGAGCTCTCCTACCTGGAAAAACACCTGCCTTCAAATGAAAAGTACACAGCCTAGCTGCTTGTCACTGGAAAGGCATTGAACTCCTTACGGTCAAATAACATCCCACCCCAAAAGAGGGGTAGAAATGTTTCCACTTAGGATGTGATGGAAACACTGCTGCATTCATTCCTCTTTGAAGACCTTTACTCAATGTCTTCTCCTTTGCACAGCATGTGTCTCCGTATCATAGACTCATCATCCCATTTATTTATGAGTCTGTTTAAGAAGTCCTGTTTCTCAGCTTTGATGCAGCCCCATCTACAAAAACACAAGACATGTTCAAGTAGCAAACGTGCTACTCATGTAGCACTTAAAGCAGGGGCAGTGGGCACGGTACCTTGAGACCTCCAAAAGGGCTCTGGTAAGATTCTGCTGAAGAATCTAAGCAGTCATAAGGGAAGAGGCAAAACGTCATCACAGACTGAAAGCTGAGCAGTTTAATTTCCATCCTGGTAGAAGGTCAACAGTGACATGGCCAAAGTTTAACAGTAGAAGTAAGAGTGTGTGGTGTATTTATTTAGTTTTAGAAGCAGGGTTAGTAATAAGGGAGTATAAATATGTGTATTGAATTACAGTTATTTGCTACAGATAAGAGAAGACTGTGAAGGCCTTCTTCAGGTTAAGGCACAGCAATATAACAAAATAAAGACATGGTATTGACTAAAGCAAATATTAAAAATAAAGATTTGGTCAAACCTCATAGGTTTTTAGGTGAGCTGAAAAGATCTTGCTCTTTCATCCAGTTCTATGGAAACCTCTGTTAATTGCTCTCTTGCAGACAGGAAGACTAAGAGTTATGACAATTAGGGAATAGGATAGGGAGTGGAAAGAAACTCATTCTGGGGTCTCTCACAAGTCGAAGGTGCAGTGCTATTGAGGGTGCTCTGTGCAGTTATTGCTGCAGAACAAGAGAGGGTTCAGGGAAGAGCAATGAGAATGTTGGCCAGGTCATTTCATGAGTGGCACAACAAATGAAGCTTTCCTTTTTATAACTTTCTATTATTTAACTTTCCTTCCCTCTCTACCCACCTTCCAAAAACACCTACCCGCATCCCACCTCCGTCTGTATTACAACCCAGATGAAAAAAACTCCAGATTTTCATGTCCCAAAACTTTCTATTCCTATCGTTAGCTCCTCTTTCTTTCTTCTCCAGCTCCCCCACTGCAGAACCTCTGGTGCTCTATTTCAGTTGCTTGATTCTGACCTATCAAGTGCCGGTATCTGCTACGGCTGGTCTGGAACTACAGAAGTGTTCTTTGGACAGATTAATGCTGTCAGGCTTTTGATAGGTCTGAGTATTATTCTATTTAATTAATTTGTTTGTTTGTATTGCTTAGAAGAATTTAACTTGTCAGCAGTGAATATGAAAAGAAAATTAATTTAGCTATCCTGTTTTCAAGTTATTGGTTTGTAAACTAGAGATTTGATTTTGGTATCCACAGCACAACATTTAGTTCAAGGTTAAGACAGAACACATAGTTAAACAACCAAAAAATGGTTTAATTAAAAAAAAAAAATTAAAAATGAGTCTACACTTGGAATGAATGAATTTTAAAGGATAAAATTTTTAAGATCAGAGTCCTTTTCAAACATAAAAATGGGTGTTAATTGCAAATAAATTTGAAATGCATTAACTTTATAACAAAAGTTGAGTTGTCTAATTTCAGTTCTTGTTTTACTCATAGATAAATGTGGCTTCTTGTGATGGAAAATGCCCCTCTGCAACGATTTTCAACGTCAATATTGATAGCCATTTAAGATTCTGTAAATGCTGTCGAGAAAGTGGAACACGTAATCTGACGGTGCCACTGCACTGCTCAGGAAATGGCACTGACATTATGTACGTCATTCAAGAGCCTATAGACTGCTCATGCCAGTGGAACTGACATTTACTGTGGACATGATTTAATCTAAAGAAGAAAAATTAGTTTCCTTTCACCAGATTCTATTTTTTGACTGTGGATGGCTATAGTACTCTGCAGGGAAAAAAAAAAGGTCCTCAGTTATGCTTTATAATGTAAATTTTCATAAATTCAGTAAAGATGATGTTGTTCATTGTTCTTCAGATTTTCTTTTGAAACATTGACATGTATAGAAAGAAAAATACAAATCCTTTTGAACAAGGTGTAATTTAGCCATCATTTTGTTTCTACTTGCCTTTCTGATGAGCTGTTGAAAGATGATTAATGTCTGTGTTTCTAGTGTTTTGAAATTTTGGATTGTGGCTGCCTATAAAAGTTCAGAATTTCTTAGTGGTTCTTTTCCTTTTACTTAAAAAACTTCCAGCTGAGAACTGTTACTAGTCCCACGTTTAAATGGGAAAGAAGCATATTAAAGTTTTGAGAATTACTGAATTAATTTATTAAAAAATAGTGGGTTCAAGTGTAAGAATTTTTATCTTGCTGAACAGTCTGTCTTTTGTCCATTAAGCTGTTGTCAGTGACTGGACTCTGCTCACACTGTAAGTCACTGAGAAACACCATGACTATGGTCTGTAAGTACCTGTAGTAAATCTCCAGCGTATAGTCGAATTGTAATAATGCCTTTAAATCTTAGACATTTACTTAATTTTTATATATATTATACATATGAAGCATGACAAGGCAAAGGCTGACGAGTTCAAACTTTTGTGTCTTTATTAAAAAATATCTAAAAACTGTTTCTGATACGAAGGATTCTATTTTATATCTATTTTTCAGTTTTCACAAATAAGAAATTGGCTGTTTACCTACTACCAGTAGAATGGGAGTCTATGTATATATATTTATTAAAAAAACAGTATACTGCACTTTTTAACTACTCATAATGGGTTTCTTTCTTTGTTTTCCAGTTTGAAGATTTGTGTTCTGTATAATCTTATAAAACAAGTAAAAATTGTTTGGTTATGGTTTTGTTTTGTTTTTAATGTTGAGATTTAGGCTATTGAATTGATATATGATGCATAATTCTTGAGTCTCAGAAAACAAAATCCAGGTAAAATATGTGTTTTGAAAGACGTAGGTGAGCTACTGATGTTCAATCAAGCTGTGAGTGTTTGTGATTCAGCACCTTAAGCTGAATATACTCTGTCTTTTATTAAACATACTACGTAATCTTATCTTAAAAACTAAGGATATAATTTTAGGCTTGTTTTTAGAAGTCTACTTTGCTTTATAAACTCACAGAATGAAACTGCTTTAAATGATGACAGTATTTTCCTTATCGTGGAAATAGTTTCAAAATTAAAATTCTCATCTAAAAGTCTGAAAACTTTTTACAAAGGTTTTATTTCAAGCCGTTGTAATTTAATGACAAAAAAAGGTTGGACTATCTCATTGGTTTATACAATTAAAAATAACCAATTAAAAATCTTAAAAAAAAAACATGAAATCCAAGGCTTTTTTTGTTTTACAACTTTGTGTGACAAATCTTTAAACATTTGATGAATTCAGTTCAATAGCTTATGAAGAAAAATAGCGTATACAGTGAAATCTGTTTTTACTAACAGCACTGACAGCTGCTCATCTATCATCTCCTTAAATATAGTGACTTGGTTTAAAAATTAAAAAACAATCCATTGTATTATCAGTAAAAAATTTAACCATTGTAAAGAAATAGTGATCACTTAGGGATCAAAATGAAGTTTTGAGGTAGCATATGCCTCATTTGCACATTTTAATAATTTCTATAGCAGATATTTCAAGCTGTCTTATATATCAAGACCTAGAACCAAAATATTCTCTGATATTGCTGTTGGAATTTGTGTACAAAAACTTTTTATGCTGACCAGAGATGGAAAATAAATCATAGTCATAGCTGCAAAGTTTGTGTACTAATACAGCAAATTAAAAGGACAACTTTTAAAAGAGGAGTACATCTTTAGGGCCTTTTGATTTATTAATGCAGAGATAGGAATCCTATATTTGCATCAAGAGTGTTTTGCCCAAAACTTCTTGATGAATTTGTCATTTGATAAATTACTGAAGGAAGCTCCTACAAGACAGCCTGTTTCCCTAAAATCACTGAATGTGTTTTGATTCAACAGCTATGCTTTTTATAAGTAATGTGCTTTTCTAAGATTTAGAACCACACTTGTAATTAAAGAGAAATTAATAAACATTTTGCAGAATGACAACAAATCAGTGTTGATACAATTAATTTGCCTGCCCACTGAAGATGAACAATGCAAAATCTTAGAGAAACCTGGAAATCATCAAAGCAGTTCTGCTTAAAATTAACTCCGTGTGTTTTGCCAATGACCAGGCCCAACAAAAATGGTAACACCAGCAGGGAGATGAACCAATACACAGACTGTATTGTAGACAGAAATGTTACTATATGAATGACTGCCGTGGGTACAAACAGGTCAACAAGCTCGTACATGATTGACACCACCCCCAACGATCCCACAAACGACATGACCCGGCCCACAACAGGTGGTACAAACAGTGAACTGAGGTTGCCCATAGTTGGCATGGGAAACAGCCAGACCAGCCAGTTAAACACATAAGAGAAAGGTGCCCACATGGCGACTCTCACCTGATCAACCCGCGTTCACAAAGGCCTAAACAGACCAGGGCCCAGCTCCAGGGAGAGTCAGGAGGTCTGCCCTGAACCAGGAAGCTCTGGGGAGTGCACTCCACAGACAGACACTCCTGACTCCCTGCAAGTGGTCCCAGCTTTTATCCCCAAGCAGACACCTGACCTTTGTCAACTCAATGCGGGACCCCTGGGGCTCATTTCCCTTATGGGGCTCATTTCCCTTCTGGCTCTCCCTGCAGGGCCGGCTGCACCCTGGGGGGAAGCTATAAGGCAAACTCACCACCTCTTTATGAAGGGCTGTGGGAATCACCCATATGTCAACCTTAATCCGGGGGCTCGGGGTTCAAACCCCAGCATTTCATCCGTGATAACCTTTAATAGGAAAAATTATATTAAAAAGATCTTTTCCCCACTTACAAATTTGTATTTTAAGTTCAACGATCAGTAGGGACCGTGTGAGGATCCTCCCTGAAGCCAATGGCAAAATCTTAACGGATATGGTCTAAATTGCCTTTAATTTTACAATTAAACTTCAAATTCAGGCCACTTTGGGCTGGTCAAAAAATAAGCATCTGTTAAAACTTGTGAACCATTTTCTGGGTGGCCATCCCACCCCCACTACCTCCACGAAGATGATGTTGGCATAATGTGGTAGGGTTCATATGACATGAACTAGCCCTTGCAGGCCTTGCAATGGAGAGAAAGTTTGAATGAGCCTGCAGCATGGCAGAACTGCTCCACTCCAAATATTTCCTCTGTCTGTTAACTGAAATATAAATGTAGGTGCATTTCGTGGTTCCATGTCAGTTGCCTCATCTCTCTCCAACTCTGTATTCCTGCCTCAACCCCCAGCCTTGAATTGTGTGTAACCCTGTTTGCACAGGTGTTTTGTGAGCTGCTTTGGAAAGCTCATCCCACTCAAACGTGACCTAGTTAAATAACAAAATTAATTAGTTTGTTTATTATTGACTAAAAGAGCTTAATACCCACAGAGTTCCCTCCCTTCTGCCCCCTCTGAAACTAAGACTTGAATAATTTCTACTCCCCTGACAGAAAGGCTGGGAATTCATTCCTCTCAGACTCCCACGATGCCACCAGAAAAGGCGAGGCACTGGTGAGAAGCTGTGTTCATGACATGAACTGAAAGATCTTTTGAGGGATAGACTTCAGCACTTAACATTCAAGCAAAAGAAAAAAAGGCTCTTATTGAGGAAGGGTTACGCTCAAGTGGATTTGTACGTAACACTACGTACTAAATTTTGTCTAACTTTCTTTTAAGTGACAAGGGGAATGTGCAAGGAAACTTGAAAAAATATCTCTCCATTAACAAGTCACCACAGTTCAGGGTGGAAAAGCACATTCAGAGCTGAAGAACGAGGAACTCTAGCAATCACAAATACTACATTGACTAGTTCTTGGCAGCCACACCCCAACCATTTTAGAACTGCCTTTCTTGCCTATTTGAAAAATAATTCTACATATAGACCAGCTAGGTGTTCATATGCCTATTGAAATCAGTGGTAAAAGATTCTCTAAGATCACAGGTTTGAGATCACTCAAAGGAGTTGGTCTGAAAAAAGGTTTTATGCACATATTCCACTTTTACAGGTCGTTTTTGTATGCAGAATGGGAGAACTTGAAGAGCTTCTTCTGTATTCATGTTGCATTCTGGAGAAAGCTGATAGCTAATGATGTTAAAATTTAAATGCTGGATGAAAGGAAAGTGGTTATGTTTTGGGGAGTGTCCTTTTGATTAAGGTGGAATGTGCCATGCACACTTAATTTAATGAGGTTAAAAAAGAGAGGGCTCCTGAGCTGTCTGGAAAATTGCTCTGTTAATAAAGCCTCCCTTCGTGCTCAGTGATTACAGAGTGCTCTTGGGAAAACAAAAAAAAAAAACAAAACCAAACAAACCCCCCCCCCCCAAAAAACCCCAGCTGAATAAGCAGCAGCTTCCTTGTGGCACTGAGAACTGAAACAGCATCCAGAGGATACACCAATGAGTGCTCTGTGTGTCTGTCTGTCTCAGAGGGAGAGAGGCTGATTCAGTGTTTTCAGATCAGGGGTTTCATTGCAGCAGCTTTTGGTTTACTACATCTATCTCTGAGCCTGGATAACAGACAAGTTCTGAGATTTTTTTTTTTTTTCTGGTGAGATTAAGCCTGTCTTGTTTATTTAAAGTTCTAAATAAAGGTCTAATTAAAAATTGTGTTCCTTATTTCATGATTTGAAGTTCAGTTGGATACAGGTTTTAGAAAAAATGATGAACAACCCACTGAAAAACAAGATATTATCTCAAGATGGAAGTAATATATTATGTGATGATAGCACCTAGAGAAAACACAGAGTAAATAATACGAGCCTTGCTCATTTTTATGGTGCATATGTACAGTAGCACTAATTTTTATTTATTCAATTATTTTGTCTGGAAAATAATTTGTGAACATTTTTTATCAGCTTATTAAACTGACTTAATTTCAAAAGAGCACAGTGGAAAAGTGATTTTCTATTTAAAAGGTTAATTTGGGGAAGGTTAGGGCACTGGGAATTATACTGAGGTAAATTTACCTCTGAATTCAGTGTTTCAGAACTGGCCAAAGGCAGATACCACTTGAAGTTTTTGTCTGACCTGAGTTCTTGTTCAGCAGCCTTTGGGAAATAAACAGTGATCTTACCTTTATGTGTTCTCGTACATTCTTTGTTTTAGAGGCTTGCACTGGTAACCTTCTGTGGCACTTCTCTACAGAGTTCAACAGCTCGATAATCAGAAATTCTGCTCCAGGGAGAAACTCTGCCCCACGGAGGTAAATGAGGATCTTTAGAGTGACTCCAGCAGTGGGACAACGTCACCGTCTGTTTCTCCTCTGGGGCTGAGCTCCGTGCTTTACACTAGGGACACTCACTGGGAGCTGATCAGATGGGTCCCTACATCACAAAACCAATCAGGTGGGCACTGCCGTTCTGGGCTCCCAGTGGCCCTGTGGGGGCTTCTGCTCACAGTGGCCCAGCCCACCTCAGTCAGGGTGGGGGGGCTTTAGGCTGCTGCTCCGCACCCCGCCGCAGGTGCCCAGCTCCGCTCCCTGCGCTGCAGGTTCCTCCTGGGAGTCAGGTGCTGAGGTTGCCAACTGGAAGTTTAAGAGGTCACCTCGTACACACGTTGCGTGCAAGCTGGGAAACTGCTAGGCTTTGCTTTTATAGTGAGAAGCAGGGAGCTGTGTTTTCTGTCGGCAATTTTAGACTTGCTCATGCAGTTCCCGGTGCTATACAGGTGTGCACCTGCCTTCTGATGAGGAAATTTAATAGAAATTATCGTAAACTTATTTTGTTTATATTTATTCCTCTTGGATGCCCTAGCAAGATGTATCGATGGGTTCTGCAGGTGCGCCTAGTAAGTCCACAGAAATGTGCTTTAAGTTTTATTTTGAGTACTGACAAAGGGGCATCTTGCTAGAAATGTGTGCTGTGGAGAAAAAGTGGAGTCTCCCCAGGAAAGTGCAAGGGGTTACACAGATTTCAGTGAATTTTGATCCAGTAATCACTGGTAAAACTCTGATATTTTGTACACTGAGGGGCTTTAAAATGACTAATGAACAGCAGACCCATCCACAGTTCAGTGAAGTTAGAGGACAGCCTTCTGCTGATGTCAGGACACTTTATATGGGACCTGCCAAGAGGCAGGGCCAGAGCAAAGCCACAGATCTAGGGTACACTGTTGGCTGCTGCTATGTCGTTGTGAAGTATAAATACATGTATTAATTTTTCTCTTAAATATTCTCACACAATTTTGTTCTGAAGCTGTTGTGATTCAAACAAATTAAGAGACATTGCAACTATAACGTTTCTGTATGGATCAAGCAATTCTTCTCCTGCTTTTGTTAAAATATTTGTTTAAGGTAAGAAAAATATTCCCTTTTTTGAAGGTGGATAGGTATTCTAATTGAACGTTGAAAATGGATGGTTTATGATTTGGACTGCCTTTATTTTTTTGTCCTAGCAATTACTTACTTACAACTCTCAGTTATTGCTACTGAGCATTCCCAGTCTTTGTTCTGTTTAAATTGCTGGAAACTCTTTTGAGATCCTTAATCTGCTTTATTGCCTGCTGCTTCTGGTTTCATGTTATTCCCCAGAAGAAGTAGAGATCTCAGCATCTTTTAAGTCCTACAGTAGCTCGTATTGCTGTCTAAATTATAACTTTTTGGATACTGTGGAGATATGCAGGTCATTATGGAACCCAGGGGTATACTCTGGCTATGCCTTTTGGAAGTGTCCTTCTGGAAGAAGTGTTTTACTGTCTGATCCCAAACTGCTGTGTGTGGGTTAGCCCGTTTTGTTTAATTTGACTGATACTGAAATAATTGCATACATAGCAACCACGTGCATCTTGCTGCTTTATTTTCTAGTACACTTTGCAATAGTGTTTTCCATATTATCTGTATTTAGTTTTTGTGTGTGTAGTCTTTGTTTTACATTCAGATTAAGGTGCTTTACAGCAAAGGTGATTTGAAAGCTCTGTCAATTACTGGTGCAAACAGCACTCCTCTCCTTTGGAGAAGAGCTGTGGATTTGGAGTGGTGAAGTGAAGCTGTGATACTCAGCCTCCTGCTACATTCCTTAAGGATATCCAGACAGTGTCTGCTTGTGCTGGCCCATTCTGAGCTTTAGAAGAAGAGGTTTTTGTGGAAGCCATCGTGCAGCTGTCTGTGAGCTGCCTTAGGGAAGTTTCCTTACAGTTGCAGGGAAGGTGAGAGTGCCTGGCTCATAAGGGTGGTGGTATGGGGTGTAATAAAACCTTCAGTGAGTCCACATCTTACCTCCAGCAGCAGCAAAAAGCAAATCCTTGGGGAGGACTGTTAGAATAGCATAATATGAGAATTAGCTATACTGTGCTAGTTTCCCACCATTTGCAGCATGGTGGATGTAGTTGCAGTGTATTTTGTAAGCTTCTGTGTAGTTCTCTTCTGCAAACTCGTCCAGCCTCCTATGAAGCGCATCAAAACTTTCAGGGCTCATTTTAAGCTTTGTCAGAAAAAGGATTTAATTTATGAAGAGTTGCCTCTTCCTGTTTGCTGTGAGTCTGGAGCGTACCAGCTATGTTTCATCCTTCACAGTTCTTGTACTTGAAGAGAAAATGAAAAATCAATTTCTGCTCACTTCTGGCTACTTAAGATTTTGTAGACCTGTGTTGTGTCTCTCCTCAAATGCCTCTTTTTCACACTGAGAACATTACATGCGTCATATCTTGAGAAGCAGTCGATAGCAGAAGTCTATAAGTGTTTGCTGTTAAGCACTCCTGGCTGATGTGTAGCTTGCCTGAAGGTAGATTTGAACCTTAAATCCTTGTGGTCAGTTTTTATTTTTTTATTTTTTCTTTTAAATTACTCCAGCCTTTGGCTAAGGGCCTAAAAAGTACCAACAAGGTGATGATGACAAAAAGGGACATTCTAAATCCTCTCATCAGATAGAAATGTGGTAAAGTTGCTGTGTACACTTGCACGTTTAGTTCTTGTTTTTAGTCTAGGAGAATGTATCTATGTGTACTAAAATGGCATATGATATTGCCGGTGGTGAGAAATGATTAAAAGGGTTCATTTGATTAATGGCAAATATACCCTTTAAAATTCTGTTTAGAAGCAGGTTTTCCTATCCTTTGGAATGTCTGGATTAGACTGTTTTCTGGGCATGCAAGCCAGCTATACAACCATCAATTAAAAGCCTGCTGCTTTTCCTGGAAAAGTGTTCTTTAAATGTTTTTGTGTATGCCATCGATATTAGCCTGGGATATTAATTCAAGGGCTTCCAAGAGGTGGTATGTACCCTCTTACAAAGGTTTTCTAGAGGTTAAAGACTTTACAAAATTAATAAAATTTATAGTTTAAAAAGTATGATCTAAAGTCTGAACATTAAGACTTTGACAGATTTATATGTACGTTAGTTTGTCATTAGTTAAAGAAAGTTGCCTTAAACCCAGGTGAGTTCCAGACTATGTTGTATTAAAAAATAGAAGAGAGCTGAGTGGTTTTGGTTTTTTATGCCTGGGTGTTTGTGTGTGTGTGTGTGTGTGTGTGTGTGTGATTGCTTTACAGCATTTACTGTACATTACTATATTTTAGAGGTATGATTCAGGTTTATGTCCTATAGGGCTAGCGATACAGGTCCATATAAATGCTGTTGCTAGCTAACAAATTCTAGGTAAAGGTAGTTAAAATTGACAGAATTTAATTATTTTGTTAGAGGTATATTTTCTGCTGTTTCTACTAAGTTGCATTCTTGAATGTTTCTGTTACAGGGTTCAGAGGGCCTAGACTGTGACCAAGTGAAAAAGCCTGCTAGGATAGTCTTGCTAGAGTGGACTGAATTTCCCAAAGGAGAGGATCCAGACTGTTATATTGTAACCTACCAGCCAGCAGATGCTTTCAGTCAAAAAGTAAATTTCATCAGTCTATGTGATAAGAAGTTCCCTATGTATTTAAGCTGTAAATACCAGTAGTTAATATCATTGTGTGTTTTTTTAAAAAGTAAAATAGCAAATAAAGAGAGTCTTGAAAAATTGTACTGATTTCTGTCATTCATGTAATTTATGTGCACTCTTACAGAGTCCGGTTGAAGCCAGTGGGTACACAAGTGTCCTGGCTGAATAAGGACAGACAGGCAGATATATTCAAAGTTAAGAACATGCAAGTTCTTTAGGTACTGTGGTTTTACTGAAGGAGTCTAACTTCTGCAGGAGAGGCACAGACACTTCCCCCTGATACCTGTGGGAAGGCATTGTTCTAATTTTGAGCACAGGATGTTCTTGAACTTAAAGAAGATATGGGGATTTTAATATGAAGGTGTTGATAGTTTTGATTTCTGAAGGGTTTTGTTTTAAATGCATTGAGTATTTTGCAGTTGAACTACAGCCTTGTTTGAAGTGCTGCAATATAAGCTACCCTTTGAAAAACTTCATAGATCATTTATGAATTGTATTTTTATTACTTTCACTATATCCAGAAATTCTTTTAACTTGCAGAATTTAAGAAACATTTCCAAAGTTGAGCAGAAACCTGCCAGTACTACAATTTTGCTTGAAGAAAATAAGAAGTATGATATTACAATAGAATCCCTAAAAAGTGGCCGAATCATAAGTGTAAAATCATTTCAGACATGTGAGTAGGTTGAAAATATTTGGTATCCTTATCATTTGTCTAATACTGAAGATTAAAGAAGTAGGGGTCTAAATCCTGAGCTTACTCATGTGTTTAGAAACTTTGCATCCATGTGTGTTTTTAATGAAGAGCAGAAGAAATAATTTTACATAACTGACTTGGTTAGTGTCATGGTTCTACAGTATGGGACTGCTGAAAAAAAACCTGGGAGATTTTAAAATGTTACAGGCTTTGCTATACTACAGTAATTTTAGGACAAGAGTTTATAAAAGAGGACCGTGGAGAAAGTTGCATAAAGCCTGGCGATTTGATATCAATGTAAGGCTGTGATTGTCTTATACAAATAAAAAATAATAAATATTTTTGTTTCCGCTTTATGAGACTCCCCCTTTAAAAAGGGTTAATGAATAGCTTGAAGATCTTAGTATTGTGATTAACTGGGACAGAATTTTAGCGTAAGAATTTCTGATTCAAGCCAGTGAATTATAAAATCGTCAGCTATAGCTGTAAATATGTTCAGGGCCACAAATCCCAAAGCTTGCTAGAATGAAAGGACTTTCTCATCTTAATTTTGTTAATTGCTTTAAAATAGTTTATAGCGTTACCTTTTACTGAAGCTGATAACTATTACTTACCTGTTGTTGTAGCAAAATATGTACTTCTACTGTTAAACACTCCTTAAACTGTGCACTTCTGGTTGCTTCAGCCATATGTTTACATACCATGACAAAAAAGAAGGGCATGACTTTCTTAATTGCTCATGCGACATTTTTAGTTTTGATACTACCTTTCTTTCTCTACTATATGCACCCCTCCACTACTTTAAAAAAAAAAAAAAAAATTTGATAGAATAAAACTTTGACCTAATTATTTCCTTGTAATAAAGACAGTACTTATTTTTTCTTGGCCTACTAGGTGGAATTTCAGAAAATGACATCAAAACATTTGTGACAGCTACTACAGTGTCTTTTAATTGGAGTGCAATGACCAAGGAAGTTTCAGTTTCAGTTTCACTGAATGATACTTCTCAGATTATGAAAAACCTCCATGGATTCCTTGTATGGAGTAATTTGATGCCTGCTACCTTATATACATTTAAGTTTATATTTGAACAGCTACATCTTGGATTTATAAATGTGTCTCAGTCACTGGATGTCCAAGCTGAAACAGGTACAGAAGTTCCTTGTGGTCACAGTGAATGCAAGGAAGCAGTGCATGTTTTCTAGAAGAGTTTGGAGTACATTGTAAAAAGTCTGTACTCCAGTTCGCAATTTTTAAGAGATGTGGGTTGTTTCATTTCTAGAAAGCTGAAAGAAATCAACTGTTAATTACATAGAAAGATTGTTTCTAATTAATATACCTTAATATTTTTAGGAGCAAGAATTCAAATTTGTATGTGTACATCTTTTAAACTACATTTTTTGCAGTCTGAAACAGTCAAGTGAATGCTGAGGTTAAACATTAAATATATGGATTGGATTTGCTACATAGTTTCAATGAAAAGTCAGAGAAATCCTGAATTTGATAAGGATTTAGAACAATACTTGCCAGCATTCAAAGGGATCGTTTTGCACTTGCTGACATAGCTATGCTGTTTTGTAAGAAGTGCTGTGAAGAAAGCAGGATTCAGAGGATGTTATGGCTTGATTGTGTAACTTCATCCCATTAAATGTGCTATACTGATAATGGATCTTAAAATATAAAATTAGAACACATGAGAAAGGTTCATATAGGCTCAAATTCAAGGAAATAATAATTTTCCTAAACAGAGGAAATTATTAAAAACAAATGATTTGTTAACTCAATTTTAAAATGTAAAAAAACCAACCATCAGGAACTAAACTGAAACAATTATTTTTTTTCCTATAGTAGGATAAAAATAAATGGATCTCTTCTTTTTGCTTCAGTGAGTTGTAGCTGATACTCTTAATGCGGTCAATTATATTTTTAAGGATGCTCAGGATTTTGAAGAAGTGCTAATTCATAATTCCTGAATTTTGGGGAGTTTGCAATCTCAAATTAGTTAAATGCTGTCATCATCAAAACGCCTGTGTAATTGTATATAAAAAAAATCTTAAACCGTGCCACTGCCATTAATGGTGCAGAATACTTTTAAAATCTTGTCCTTGTCCACCTATAGGCACCTGTCCCCAAGGGTGGGTGGCATTCCAAAGCAGCTGCTATCAAGTGGGCAAGGAGAGCAGGACGTGGAAGGTGGCACAACGCACCTGTGAAACGTCTTCACGAGGGGCACATCTTCTTGACATAGGCAGCGAAGAAGAACGTGGTTTTATTTCATTTTATCTCCAGACAATTAATCAAATAATCATGGTATGGACGGGACTTAACGACCTGAAGGTCAGTCTGTTTTATCTTCTTTGCTATTACATATATGTAAGCGGGAGAATTTTCATAGATAGAGCCCAATTCTTTGCAATAAAAGAAGTCACACTGTAAACTGGTTATTTGTTTGTATAGTTATTAGTAGTTAAGAGAGGAATCATTGTTTCTTCGTATTTAGAAATACGAAAAAAAAAAACAAACAGTTTATACATAACATGGGCTTGTGTCTTTTTTTTTTTTTTTTTTTTTTCTTTTTTTTTTTTTTGTAATACTTCATAGGCATACTGTTTTGTCTGTAGGTGGTGCTGCATTACCAGATTTTAAATTTTACCCTACCCGTGTATTACTCTACTAGGGCTGTCTTAGTCTGGGGTTGGCTTTCTCAGTTTTGACGTGGGTCTGAAATGTTGAGTGTGGGGCTTTGCAAGGTCTGTCCAGCACGGGTGCTCAACAGACCAGTGGAAGAAGGGATTGGAGCAAGGTATTTCTTGTGGAAAGTTTCCTGTTCCTCCTATTTGAGATAGGAGGGTGCTTAATCCCAGCTCTGCTGTTATTAAATGACTTGCTGTGGTGTGGTGTGTGATTTGGAACAGCTACAGAGATAAATGAAAGTATTGGGAAAGTTGTTAGAAAGATGGAGGCACTCTGCTGGAAATCTGGGATCCCATCTTCCTGTGATTTGGCTTAGTGAAAACTTCTTTTGTGGTAAGTATCAGAAGGGTGGGTGCAAGCCACTGTTTTTCAGTTTGGGAAATTTACACTCTGAAATTTAGTTTTAATATTGTTTTGGTCAAACTAATGTAGAAAGAAAATGCTGTGAAAAACAGTAAAAACAAAGTAAACTTTATTTGTAAGGGTAGAAGGTAAGTGGGAAATGTGTCATAGAACATTTCTTTTTTTGCAGGCTGTTAAATAACCTAACAGGGCTGCGCAAACAAGTCAGGGTGTGGGATAACATGAAAACTGAGGAAACACAAACCTGCCAGGTTTGTGGTTAGAGAAGCCCTCTAACCTCCCTGGTCAGTAAAGTACCACTAATATAGACATTTTACATGTAATATTGTTTTATGCAGAGATTTTAGAATCACTGTAATTTTTACACCATAGTGTTATTAATTGCAAATAACTTGGTATTTTAGAAATATGTTAGTATTTGTAAGATGCTGCCAGAAATAGATGTCCCATGAAAGCATAATATTTTTTTTCATTTTGGAAAGAGTTCTGGAAAGGTTGTATTTGTGGATTTGTTGTCATGTTTAACCATTACATGCCTTTTTATGTTTTGGGAGGTGAGAAGGTAAAATGAACTAGAGGAGTACTTTGTTTAAGAGTAGGGAGGGATAAAAAAAATGCTTGTTTTTCAAGCGCTTCTTTCCTAAATATTTGTACTTAATTGGCATGTTCAATCACTGTGTGTACATGTTGGAATCCTTCTAACTGCCATTGTTGTAATTTTCTCTCATTTTATGAGAACTCTGAATTGTATTGCACCAAACTGTGCTTACTCCAGTTCAAAGATCTTGGGACATATTCTAGAAATCTCAGGAGTTGCTAAAATCTGAGATAAAAAATACAGATTCAATTCTTGTTGCTTTCTTTTTCCTATCTGAAAGGGAGTTAAATTCCTGTTTTCAAGGCTTTTCTCACAGTACTTACGGGGCTTGAAATACCTGATGAAGAAAAGTTGAGACTATAACCTACTTGGAAAGATATCAGCAGCCTTAGGAAAACTGCCAAGCACGGCAGCACTGATAAAAATTAGTGATGCTGTGAGCAGGATTAATTCTATAGCATTTGTACTCTCACAGTTTCTCCTTCTTTAACCCTATTTTGATCTGTATCTTCATTCAAACTCTTCCTGAAGAGGTTGAGTATTCTTGTGAAAGACTACAGGGACCCTGGAGATGTAGGTCAATGCACTGAATAAGTGTGAATGGAGCACTTCAGTGATACCCTCATGTCTGTCCTGATGATCTCTTCAGCTCTTCAGAATTAGGAAGTGGGAAAGGTAGCCAAAATATGTTTACTGAGGTTCTTACAAGCCCTGCTACAGTTCTATGTCATAGTAGTATCTTCCTGTGCTTGTAGTTCACTCTGATGCCCAGGAAGACAGTATAAGAAAAGTAGATTTTAAAAATATATATAAAATATTTAAAAATCTGATATA